GAATTCTTTAGTATTGGAACTCGAGGCTTGAATTTTTTTTCTTTAGTACTTTTACCAAGTCATATGGTCAGAGTGTTCTTCTTTTTTTTGGTTTTTTAACCCTAAATCTGTGCACATTTTGTTATAATGCTTTCTTTTGTCTGCTCAGGCTTCGGTTTGAAATTTTCTGTTCAGCTCTTTACGTTACCATTTCTTCATTTTGTTCTAACTACTTACTACATGTTCAAGAGCAAGTTTCAGTCTCTAATGATGTCCACTTTGATCTTTTTTTTCCCTGTCTTCCTGTTATTTTAATGATGTTTGGCTTTCTTCATGTATGATGCCTTTGATACCATCTCACAACTCATCCGGTTTTTAGTCATTTGTATTCAGTGCATCAAATCTGTTCTTAAAATGGTCTCTAAGTTCAGGTGATGTATATTAAAGGTGTATTTTTAGCTCTCAGGGACTTCTTTTAATTTTCTTCAGCTTTAACTTGAATTTGCTTATAAAGAACTAGTAGTCTAGAAATAACATTGTTTAGTAAATCTGGAACCAGTAAGGCAGTAGATTTGGATCATTCCACAATTCAGCCTAAAAACAAATATAACAGAAGAGGTACAAGATTACCCCTTACTCACTCTTTAGATCTGGAACTCACCCTTTGGGCATTTTTGTTTAAACAACAGAAAAGTCTATAAGGGAAACAATCACACTAGTAAAGTATGCACACCTTAGAGTGATCAACCGTTTCAGATCTAGAGGTCAGCATTTATCCCAGGACAAAGTCCACAGGGTTGGGAGAGAAGGGGAGAAGCACAGGAAGGAGGTGAGATGTGTGGGGTTGCATTGAGGAGATTACAGTGAGTGAGATGAAGCAAAATGTGTATATCAATTGTTGAATGGAAAAAGTGATTTGTTCTGTAAACATTCAATTCACAATTAAAAAAAAAGGGAATGGGTACAAGACTTATGCTCTTCAAAGTAAAACAGTATTGGGAAAAAGAAGATAAGTAATTGAGAAGCATTTTATTGTCATGAGCTGAAAGACTTAAGTTGGAAAGATATTTCATTAGGGGGAATTCTCTGGAGAAACAAAACCAGTGACACTTAAATATTTATATAAAGATAGTAGTTTATATAAAGAGACATTGTTCACACTGTTGTCGTTGGTGGTTTAGTCCAGTTAACTCCATGTGTCAGCTGTTAAACTGGAGGCTTTTCATCATTCAAGTAGCTTCCAGGAAGTCTAAGCCAGCAGATGAACAGGAGACAGGAAGACAGCAGGGAGAGGAAACAAGAAGACCATAGTTGGTGGACACAGAGGTGGTTTGGCAGGTCAGATGTTATGGCAGGTCACCAATAACTCCCAGGATTGGCAGGTAATATGGTAGAACAGTGGCTCAAGTAAAAACACCAGAGGTCATTGTGACAGATGCAGAATCCAGTCAAGCAAGAAAGAGAGAGAGAGAAAATGTTCCACATAGTCTGTTTTCAGAAATGAAGTAGTCTATACCCCTAAGAAGACGTTATCAGGCTGGGAACCGTATAAAGAATTTCCTGGAGTTCTTCATATCATGTTAGGTTACATTATGGAGGAGGCCATAGTGCTTAATTACTTAGGATCCCAGCCCTTCAGCCAAGTGGTCACAAAGCCTAATTACAGGTACTATTACAGATACTATAGCTGTATAAATCACCAATCAAGACTAGCAGGTACTTTTTGAGGAATTGGCACTCTGATCCAAAATATATACGAAATACAAAGGACTAAAGCTATCCAAAGTAATCTTGAAGAAGAGCAAAGTTAGAGGTTTTATTATCTCTGTCCTTAAGAATTATTAAAAACTATGGTAAATAAGAAAATGCAGAATTGGTATACAGATTGATAAATTGACTAATGTGGGACCAAATAAAGTTTGTAAAAAGAGATCATACATATAAGGTTACATGGCTTATGAAAAACATTATAGTGCATTTGCGGAAAGGATAGTCTTCCATAAATAATATGGGGTAACTGAATAGTCAAATGGAAAAAAGTCTATTTTGATTTCTGTCTGACACTATTAAAAAAAAACCCAAACAACTCAAATGGATTAGAGCTTTAAGGCAATAATAAAGCTTTTTGTTAAATATAGGGGAACACCTTAGTTACTGAAGAATTCTTAAAACAGGATGCAAAAAGTACTAATTATAAACAATTGATAAGTTATACTACCTTAAAATTAAAGAATTCTTTTCACCATTAATATAGTGTAAAAGTATTCATAATATATCTAAACATTTCATAATATATCTATACATTTTTAATACATTTTATAAAACCTAGAATCAAGAAAATAATATAAAGACAATGATGAAAATATTGGTAAGATTGAATAGATACTTTGCAAAACAGGATATTCAAATGGACAATAAATATATGAAAAGTACTCATTGTCACCACTCATCAGAAAAATTTGAATTAAAACCACAATGCAATAAGTACCATCGTATACCCACTAAAATAGCTAAAATAAAAAATGGGGAAAAGGTTTGCGAATATGTGGCATAACTGGATCTCTCATATCCTCATGCCATTTATCCCTCCGCCCTTCAATTTAACCCCACATGTGTTTATCAGCCAGGTTGGCACAATAAACTAACTACCTCAATCCACCCCTTGCCAGCCTGGCACTTGTACATAATTCTTAGCTTCACAATTGAAATTAAGTAACACCTACACCTTAATCCTATAATCCTATGAATATGTTCCCCCACCTATGAAAGTTTGTAAGACAACCACTTCATTGCCTTTATCCCCCCAATTTTGAGTATTCAAATTATATACTGCCCACTTACATCAACCCAGTTCTCTGAGAAGACAATCATATTTTTCAACATGAAGAGTCTTCATTCCAGTTGGAACCTTGTAAAGTCTGCATCCATAAGCAAAATCAAATCTGTACAGACCATCCATGAAGTCACCAACAATATGCACCAGTTCACAGGCTCAAAAATCTCCATCTGGTCGGGTTCTGGTCAACTCAATGTGGGCTGCCTCACTCAGCCTCCACAGGGTGCCCATTGGTTGCCTTGCCTTTAGACCATGGGCTCTCACTAATACTCAACAAGCCTAGCCCTCTTGTGCTAGGTCATGAACTTTAGACCAGTCAACCCACTCTAATCTTCTCCTTTTTTTTTTCTCCCTGTAAACCAAGTCCACAGGTGTCAGTGGCCAAAATCAACTCGTCTCTTTATTGCTGCTCTTCCACTTCCACTCAACAGGTAGATCCAGGTGGTCACCTTGCAAGCATTTCAGCCTGCTCACAGGCTCCCTTTAACATTCAGTCCCAGAGAGGAGTTTTCTTCATCGTTCCAGATTTTTTCCAGCTTTTGACAAAGACTACTGGTCCCTGAGTACTCCAAAGCACTGGATGGGGCATATCTTTCTTTGCAAAGCTTTCTTTGCAGACATGGCCTAAACCGATCTAAAGATAAAATTTTAATGGCTGAAAGAAAATAGGCTTACAAACTTTCTATTTTCTTACTTCCCGTATTTTCCCCAGAAAGCCACTGAGTGACTTGATTTGACCTCTGGCTAGACAAGAAAAGGTACCCTGAGGGAGAGGTCAAACAAACATCTACTCTCCATCTTATGATTTGTTTCTCCAGTACCCCACTCCCAAGGTACTATAATGTGTCAGTCTGGGTACTTTAGAGAAACAAATCCACAGAAACTCATGTATAAGAGAGAATTTTTATATAAAAGTTAAGTGTGCATCAAGAAAACATCCCTACCCAGTGCTTTCCAAGCTCACAAGTCCAACATTAACCCATTAACCCTTATGTCCAACACCAATCCACAAAGTCCTCCTTCTCACAAAACAGACACAATGATGCAGATTGCAGGAGGAAAGCCGAGTCAGTGAATGTGTAAGCATCTCAGCGCTGGCAGGGGTGTGGGATGTTGGGGTGGTCTCCACATGGGTGCTCCAGCACCCAGGGCTGCATTGGAGTAGGTCCATGTGGCTTCTCCTCAGGGATGTCTTGCAGGAAGTGAGGTTTGCAAGCTGAAGCAGGGAACTGGCTAAGGCAGCTCCACCCTGGTCCAACCATCAGAAAGCAAGAGATCCGAGAACTCCAAAGGCGAGGCTCACCAAGCCATTTATCCCCCGCCCTTCAATTAACGCCACGTGTGTTTATCGGCCAGGTTGGCACAATAAACTAACTATGTCAGTGGTGGAGTGGGAATATTTTATCTTTTGATTGAGGTGTTGTCTGTGTGAATTTGTCCAATTTATAAATTTCATTGAAGAGCATTACAGTATGTATATTTTCAGTGTGCAAACAATACTTCACTACAAAGTTTTGAAGGCCAGGGAATTTATTGGCTTCAGTCTATAATAACTCCAAAAAGCCTCTCTCTTCATTAAAGGAAGCTCCTGAAACAGTGGCCACAGTATTGAAGTCACTGACGCAGGGTACCTCTTTCGTAATAACTGGGAATCTTAGGGTCTGAGATGTTCCTACATTTTGCTTTATGCTTATGCTCCCTTTTTATGTCACAAATCCTTCTTCCAAGCCTGGGGGACTTGACCAAATGTATCATCTCTAGTTACAATCACATACGATCATAAGATTATTCCCAGGCCACTCACATGAGTTCTTGTGATCCCTTCTTTTGTTCCTGAGAAAGATTCTATTGTCTCTTGGGGAAAAGAAAAGGTAAAATTTACTCTTCATATTTCTGGAAATAGTACTTTTTATTCTTCAATTTTCATTTAGATTCTTGTTTGGGATGACTCATTTACCATGTATAGACCTCTGCTGTTCTCATCTGGAAAACGTTTGAACCAATACTGTATTGAACAAAACTGAGACTTCTCTGAGCTCAGTGATCGACTAACTCTATTATGCCGGCTTTCTTTGGCTCACTTAATTCCTTGCTGTTTTGTATAGCTAAAAGACTACCTTAAATATGTGTGTGTTTGATAGTTTCAGCTTCGTGCAAAAAATATTAATTTTGTTCTTCTACATAGCAGGTGACCAGAGAATGGAGAAAAAAATACGCAGAATCTCTCTTGCTTCTGAACCGAATATAATTCATTTTTTACAAGTATCTTGGGAGAAAACCCTTGGATCTGGTTTTGTTGTTACACTGACTGATGGTCAGTCAGTATGGACTGGAACAGGTAATATTAAAAGCAAATTTTAAAATATTTAAGATTTTGATGTGTTGAGTTATCAGTGATAGCTCAAATTAAAGATCTGAATATTTTTTAATAAGAGAGGTCTTCATAAAGTTGGTAGGAAAATGGAATTATTAGATAATGGGATTTTTCCATTTTTCCAATATTTTCCATTATTAGATAACAGGAATATCCTTATAGATAATAGGTAAAATTAATGTGATTGCTTTTACTTATTAGTTCTATTTAGTTTATACAGCTTTTAATACCATTCCTATAGAGCAGTGGTTCTCAACCTTCCTAATGCCGCAACCCTTTAATACATTTCCTTATGTTGTGGTGACCCTGCTACCATAAAATTATTTTTGTTGCTACTTGATAACTGTAATTTTGCTACTGTATAAATCGTGGAACCCCTGTGAAAGGGTAATTCGGACCCCCAAAGGGGTTGCGATCCACAGGTTGAGAGCCGCTTCTATAGAGAAAGAAGTACTGTACTTATTTCCCTCAGGAAATTCTGGTTACCGGTTGAGAGTAACTGGTTGAGAGGGCATTTTTTGTCTGATTTATTTATAGAAAATTTTTAATGATTTATTTGTAGAAAATATAAATAGGACTTTTTAATGGATGTTTCCTGAGGACCTCCGGGAAGTATTATAAGGCAAAGGAAGTGCTTGGCTGCGCAAAGGGTTTGTAATAGCTTGGAGGTATGGTGTAGTATGGTGTTTTTGCCTTGATTTTATACTATTAATATTATTTGGATTATTTTCTAATGACATTGTACTCTGTTTACAACCATAACAAGACAATTAATAACCTAAAATTTTATGATTTTTTTTTAACCTACATAAGGAATTTTTTTTCATAGTGATCCTGCCAGTGAGAGTAGAGCTACCCCTGTGAGTTTGTGAGACTGTAACTCTTTAAGGGAGTAGAAAGCCTAGAGGCAGAATTGACTTTATGGTAGGTTTAAAAAAAAAAAAAAGATTTTGACTATTTTTTATAAAATCTTTAAAATTGTAATATATTTTGAAATTTTTTTCTGTCTTTGTTACACAATTCTGCTATCCCTGTGCTTGACACATGGATGTATGTATGGGTTGTTAGGAGAGTTGTGTGAGCCCCAATAAAATGATTTAAGAAAAAGTATGTTATACCACAAAGTCAAAATTGAATTTTATTTGTAAGTTTTATGATAGAGAACAAACAATGTCCATATTAAAGTTACTGTAAAATAAAGAACTTTCCTAAAGGGATGGTTATAACTTTTATTGTGTTTTTTTTGTGCTATAACTTTTTATGTAAGAAAAATTGGTTATTTTGGTTGATTGTCACAATACAGCGATGGGGAGAAACTTTTCATGCTAGCCCATTGTATCACAGTGAAAGTGCAGCTAAGGGACAATAGCTATTGGTTGAGGGTGATGGGGTCCTAAAGGGCTGAAAACCTCTGCAGTAGATTAGGGTTGGATACTTAGGAGCAAAAAAACCAGTTCCACTACCACCAGTTATGGCTGAAGTGCATGATTATTTGTAAAGGATACTTGTAATTCACATTATTTTAATCAACAGGTTAATTGTTATAGTAAGAATTAGTAGTTAATCAGATGACGTTGAGGTTCGTCAGGAGCCTCACTTATCACAGAAAAATATTGCATTCTGATTTAGTCAGGAAACCTCCTTCACCAAATCTAAGAAAAACAATACGTTAAAATTCTTATCAGTGGATTGGAAAAAAAAGGTATTTTAATGAATTCATATCTTATTTAATCAGAGATTTAAGTTAACATTTGTAGAATATTTTGTTTATGCTATAGAAAACATGCTGGCAGTTGTTATTTATAATGTCTATTGTTTCACTAAATTAGCTCCCGTAAAGACGAGGAACATATCCGATTTATTAACCACTGTGTATAAATCTTGGCCCCAGGTTTTAGCACTAACATGCCCAGCAAATATTTCCTGAAACATGAAACGATGCCCCAATTGTATATGCCAATTAGGAAGGAAAGAAAATTAGTCCTTTTACTTTTAGACAAATTTCATTTGGCAATGAAAATTTGTTTTATATTTATTGTTGACAGTGAAAAATAACAATTGTAGGACACTGTTTTCTGCAGCTTGGAATTTAGTGATGTCACATTTGTGTATTCTCTGATGGGTTGTTAGCAACTGGATTTACTGTACTGGACAGGTTTTCAAAAGAAAATTTTACAATATACTTTGGCCATTTTATATTGAAAGATATCTTCTAAAGTTTTTAAGTTTTATATCTTTCAATATTCATTTTTTATATCTTATTTTAAATTTCAAGCACATAATAAGAATCTAGATTATATAACTTTGTTTCTATGTTTAGTTAGGTCACAGTAAGTAAATCTAATTTGACACGTTACAGATAGACAATAACATGATTAGAAACACTGAACCAATTAAATAATTGAAACATGAAAATGAATTTCCTTCCTGACCTCATCCTGTGTTTTGTACAGCCTGTTAGTTGTTACAACCTTCAATTTGCTTAATTTTTTTTTTTATTTGAGTAAAATTAAAAGGATGTGGCATCCCTTTGAATCTCCCCCACACAAAAATCACTGATTTTGTTTCCATTAGCAGTGTTTTTTTCTAATGAATGTACTTTGGGGTCTAATTATCATGTGGTTGATCATCACCTATATATTTCATATGGTTAAGTCACATCACAGGGTTAATTCACAAAGTTGGTTAGGATTATTAGATTAGAAAGAGATGACTCTTATATGACTTTCAAGATTGTTACCAGCAGTAAGAACCCTTAGTCATCAATCTCTAGAGTAAAATTGACTTGAAAAGTAATTAAATTTTATTAATTATTTTACTATCAAATAATTAGATCAAGTTATTTTTGTCTTAAGCATAACTGTTTGGTGACCTGTAGAAAAATTATGTGACTGGATTCTGGAAAAAAGTACTTTTCATAAGTGAAGTAGTGGAATGGGCCTGTGAAGTGATGTTAAGATCTGTGGTGTTTTACTCTCAAGATCCCTACCCTAGTGGGATGACAACGCTGTGTGTCTTGAGCTTGAGCACATACTTTGGAGAGGATTGGGGGAAGCGCCACAGCCTTTCAGTAAGCTGTACCTTGAGATTCAAGCCAAGGCTTCTTTCCTTCCTTAACACACTCATCCACCATCTACCCACACTAATCACGTGACCCTCTCTTGGTTCTTGTTTGCAAACACTTCCCTCTTTTTCAGTCATGTTGGCCTACTTGCCTTGTATAGCCTTACTATGCAGTTTAGTGTATCCCTATGGAATTTCATTGTTTTTATTCCTAATATTTGAGGTTGTTGTGAAATAGAAGGCTTTTAGATATGCTTTTTGCAGCTGTTACACAAAATTCAAAATTAGTGACCAAGTAATTGTTCTAAGGTTAAGGTTCTAAAGCTCCTGTTTCATTTTCACATGTACTCTTTCATTTAGAAGAATCGTTGTTGGTAGTGCCATCTAGTTGGATATGACCGATGGTGATCCTATGAACAACAAAATGAAACACTGCCTGGTCCTGGAAACATGTTTTAAGTAGTTGTTGTCATGATTGTGACTCCGTGAGTGTACCGAGGAGAACTGCTCTGTAGAGTTCTCTAATGCCAGATCTATTGGAAGTAGATTGCTTGTTATGTCTTCCGAAGCACCCCTGTGTGGAGTGGAATATTGTATCTTATAGTTAAGCACTTACTATGAGTATTTGTAGCACCCAGAGATTCCTAGATTTATATGATAGCATATCAGCATTTGAATGTTGTCTCCATGCGGAGGGCTGGAAGTCTTGCTTGTGTATTGTTCTATATCCCATGCTTAACTTTGTGTCTGGTGCCTAGTAGAGGCCCTGTAAGCATTGCATTTGAATGTAATGAAGGCATGTTTCTATGAAGTATTTTCAGATGGGTATGGTTTCATTTTATTGAGACTTAGAATTCTTTTGACTTGAATATTTTATCAGTTGATCTTTTTCTCTGTGTATTTGAAATATTTATTTTACATTTTCCATAACTACATTCAATGATTTCCATAGATTAGTTTCTTTTTTCTCTTGATTACAAGAATCTAGGTATTGCCTCCTCCCTGGGGGAGGGACAGCAGAGATGAGGGTGGGGAGAGATGTCGGACAGTATAACTTATGACAAAAGTATAATAAGTTGTGAATTATGAAGGGTTCATGAGGGAGAGGGGGTGGGGAGGGTGGGGGGAAATGAGCAACTGATATTAAGGGTTGAGGTGGAGGGCAAATGTTTTGAGAATGATTAGGCCAGCGAATGCACATATGTGCTTGACACAATGGATGTATCTATGGATTGTGATTAGAATTGTACGAGCCCCAATAAAATCATTTTTTTAAAAAGAAAAAAAAAAGAAATAATTCCTTTCACAATGATCTACATATAAACCTCTCCCAGGGGTATGGACAAAAGAAAAATGGGTGAAAGGACACATCAGTCAATGTAAGACATGAAAAAATACTAATAATTTATAAATTATCAAGGGTTCATGAGGGAGGGAGGACGGGGGAGGGGAAAATGAGAAGCTGATACCAAGGGCTCAAGTAGAAAGAAAATGTTTTGCAAATGATGATGGCAACAAATGTACAAATGTGCTTGACACAATGGATGGATGTGTTGTGATAAGAGTTGTATGAGCCCCTAATAAAATGATTAAAAAAAATAAATGCTCTCCCTAGATATTACGAATTCTTCAATATAATTCACCTTCAAATTATGAAACTATACCTTAGAAATATAGGAAGGAAATATGTAAATATATTAATATATAAGGATAGCGATATAGGTCTAGGTGCATATGTTTATATGTAAGTATTAAGGTAGCAGATGGATATGGAACCTTTACTCAAGTCCTCCCTCAATGAAAGAAGACTTTGTTCTAATAACCTGGTGTGTTAGTCTGGGTACTTTAAAGAAACAAATCCACAGAAATTCATATATAAGAGAGTTTTATATAAAGGTTAAGTACGCATCAAGAAAACATCCCAACCCAGTGCTGCCCAAGCCCAAAAGTCTAACATTAACTCATTAACCCATATGTCTAACACCAGTCCACAAAGTCCTCCTCCATCTCACAAAACAGACACAATGAATGCCGACTGCAGGAGGAAAGCTGAGTCAGTGAATGTGTAAGCATCTCAGCCTTGGTGGGGGTCTCCACATGGGTGCTCAGGGTAGGTCCATGTGGCTTCTTCTCATGGATGTCTTGTAGGAAGTGAGCCTTGCAAGCTAAAGCAGGGAACTGGCTAAGGCAGCTGCACCCTGGTCCAACCATCAGAAAGTAAGAGACCCAAGAACTCGAAAGGTGAGGCTCACAAAGCCATTTCATCCCTCTGCCCTCCAATTAACCCCACATGTGTTTATCGGCCAGGTTGGCACAATAAACTAACTACCTCGCTTGGCATTCTGTGTTGCTCACCTTCCTGACATGTTTGCTGAAGACAAAATGGGTGCATTAGCAAATGTGGTGATTAAAACAGATGGTGCCCGGCTTTTATAAGATATAGAATCTGTGGTCTTAAAGGCTTCAAGTTAAACAAGCGGCCATCTTACAGGGAAGCAACAAACCCATATGGAAGAAGCACACCAACCTGTGTGATCATGAGGTTTTGACAAGATCAGGCATCAGAAGACCCCAAACAAACAATCATATCAGTGCAAATGAGGGGGGTCATAGTAGAGACCCAAAGCCCATCTGTAGACCATTGGATATCCTCTCACAGAAGGCTAACAAGGAAGGAACAAGCCAGCTAGGGTACAACATAGCACCCACGAAACACACAACATTCCTCTAGTTCTTTAATGCTTCTTCCCTCCCACTATCATGGAACCAGTTCTACCTTACACATCCAGCTAGACTGGAGCATGTACACTGGTACATATAAGAGCTCTCAACACACGGAATCCAGGACAGATAAACCTCTAAGGAACAGTAATGGGAGTAACAATACAATGAGGGTAGATGGAAGGTGGGAGTAGAAGGGAAGAAAGGGGGAACTGATTACAATGATGGATCTGTTAACCCCTCTCCCTCCACAAGGGGACAGACAACAAATGTGGGTAAAGGGAGACAGCGGACAGTATAAGGTATGAAAATAATAATTTATCAAGAGTTCACAAGAGTAGGAGGGTAGGGGAGAGAGGGGAAAAATTGAGCTGATACCAAGGGCTCAAGTAGAAAGAAAATTTTTAAAAATGATGATGGCAGTATATATAAAAATGTGCTTAATGCAATTGATGTATGGGTTATTATAAGAGGTATAAGAGCCCCCAATAAAATGATTTATTTTTTAAAAATTGTACCTTAGACAGGAAGGATTTGTCTTCTTATTTTTATGTTATTTGTTTTCTTCTCAGAAGAACTAATGAAATATTTGAATAGTCAAAAATTGGGTAGTGTTCATCTTCAGTATGAATCTACTTCTAAAGAGAGAGTATGTGAATGTGCTTTAGAAGATATAAAATCACATAAGCATATAAGGGATTTTTATTCTTATGTTCATATGCTGTGTAAAATAGACCCAAATCCTCACAACTGGACCGATAGGTGACATCATGATAAATGGAGAAATCTTTGAAGTTGTTGAGGATTTTTTGCCTTGCTTGGATCCACAGTTGTGTTTGGATCAGCAATCAGTGCTCATGGAAGCAGCAGTCAAGAGATAGAAGATGAGCTGCTTTAGGTAAATCTGCTTCAATGCTCTTTAGAGTATTGAAAAGTAAGGATGTTACTTTGAGGACTAAGGTGTTCCTGACCCAAGTCCTGGTATTTTCCATTAAATAAGGAAGACTTTATACTCCCTTAATGAGTTTCATTCTTGGAAACACACAGGGGCAGGTCTACCCTCTCCTTTAGAGCTGCTGTGAATCAGAATCAACTCAATGGCAGTGAGTTTGCTTTTCTACAACCCAAGGCACTTGATACTCCTGCTAGAGATGGGCCGTGTTTGAAAATTATAAAGCATGGAAGCAAAATAAGCAACAGAATTTCTGAAACTCTGTCAGCAGATAGAAGACACAGAGTTAATTTCCAAGAACCGCCAATCCGAATCTCAAACCTAAAGCATTGCCACTGATTTGTTTCTGACTTATTGTCACCCTATAGGACCGTATAGAACTGCCCCACTGAGTCTCTAGGCTGTATGTCTTTATAGAAGCTGACTGCCACACCTTTCTCCCAATGAATGGTTGGTGGATTTGAACTGCTAACTTTGCGTTAGCAGCCAAACAGTTTAACCATTGTTCCACCAGAATTTCTACTAATCAACATGCAATCTTTAATATGTTTAAAATTTTCAGATATTTAAAGGAAGAGTAAGATGATAAGCTATTATGAAATAGAAACAAAGAAAATATAGAATTGATGATATAATTATCAGTGGATTGGTAAAATAGCTGGCTAAGTAAGCCTGGTTGAGAAAGCTTGAAGTTAGGTCTACAGTATGTAATTGTGTGATAGAAGAGGTATACCATAAATAATAATTTCCTTCTCTTTCCCTCCTCATCATTTCCTTTATCATTTACTCTTTATCATTTTCTATTGCCCACTAATAATGAGATAAGAATGAACACTTTTAATTTAACTTCACTCTACTTATGTGATTAATAACTAGATTATAGGCTATGTAATCTCTTATAATTGAGATAAAGAATAAAGATTTTATAAAATATAATGCTTATGAATCATATGAAATATGAAGGGGCTTAAAAATTCATAAAAAAATAGAACAAAAAGATCATGGAATTTTTTATGGACTTTGTGAAACTCCTCAAAATTGATCGCACTTTGAACTAGGGGTAAAAATACAGAATGAGAATTTCTGTAGTCATTTACAATGCACAGATATATTTCATCTGAGGATTGTGCAAAATGCCAGGATTCTAATGCTTTTCAAATGACATTTGAAATTAAATTAATGCATTACCCTATTTTTTTAGTTCCAAATTTGTAAATTTAGAAATTATAAAATTATAAAATTTTTAGTTCACTTAAAAGTATAATTTGACCTTAAAATGTATATGGTAAGAATTTATTTTACTCTTCATTTTAATTTTTGGTTATATAATATATAAATTAATATCAACAAGTAACCGCATATTTCCCATATTTGAATAATTATTTTTCATTTCAGACTTTTACGAATATTTCTTATGTTTTATAATCTTTCTTTTCCCCTTAGTTTCTGCGTCAGAGATTTCTCAAGAAGCTGACGACATGACAATGGAAGAAGAGAGATACGTCGATGAGCTGAGACATGCACTGGTGCTGGGAGCAGGACCGCCCGATGCCTACAAATTTAATTTCTCCAAAGAGTCTTGTCACTTCTCTCTTGAGAAAAACTTGAAAAATGTTTCAGTAAGTAAAACTTTTCATAATGTTACAAGTGGTAAAATGACAGAGCACTTATTAAAGATTATGCTTAATGTGCAGGCCGTTAGCACATTGTTTTCAGAATACCCCAGAAATAAAGCATTGGGAAGTCCTTGATTTCTAAGTTGAAAGAATGATTCTAATATAAGGCATCAAATGCTTTATATCAATAAATTGTGAAAAATAATTATTGGAAAGGTATTTCTCTGCCAGCCAGTAGATTCCAACTCATAGTAACCCTATAGGAGAGAGTAGAATTGCTCCTGTGGGTTTCCAAGACCGTAAATCTATATGGGAGTCGAAAACTTAATCTTTCTCTCTCTGAGTAGCTCGTGGTTTTGAAGTGCTGACTTTGCATTCAACAGCCCAATTCTTAATCCACTGCATCATTAAGGCACTATATTACATTGTTAAGACTTTAAAAGCATAAGTATTGTAGAGATAGTTATATGAATGAGTAGTTTTGAAAATAGGGTGAAAAGTTTTAGGTTCGTGAGGGAGGGCCTCATGCAATGTCAGCAGTACAAAACCACCAGCCAGGTCCGCCGGAAAAGGCACAGCTTTGCGCTCCAGTCAGGAGTGGCAGTCTTGGAATCCGCAAGGCCAGTTCTGTCCTGTCCTATTGGGTTACTGTAAGGCAGACTGTGCCTGATGGCAATGCGTTATTTTGAAGCGGCTTCTTTTGAAATAAGTATGGGAAATACTAATTTCTAGAAAGAAAATAATTATTTATTTACTTATAAATTATGAACTTACAAATTATTTGGTAATTTAAGTTTAGTCAAACATAACGAAGAATTTTATTTATTTATATTTATTATGAGCCTTTGACATTTTAAAATAGGAAGAAATCACTTTGAGATCATACATTCCACAACCTATTTACAGACAAAGCTGCTTACTACTTTCCTGCTCAGTCCCTGCACCAATTCAGTCCAAGGCAGTGGTTGGTTTATTAAATGTTGTCTACATATTGTCAGTAGATATATAGTATAAGTTCATGAGCGAGTTCGATTGCTATTTTATTCTCTTTTGCTAGTGACTTATCAATCAGGTGTGACGTGTGTAGTAGAAGAAAGAGAAGGAAATCTTTACCACATGAAGTTTAGAGATAGTTTGGACAGTTTGTGTTAGAGGTAAAGTGAGTCCAAATAGTTCTTTAAACCACCCCTTTCATTCAGAATGATTACAATGCTTTATAATTTAGAGAAATAATTGAAGAAAAAAATGGAATTATTATTTTCAAATCCATTTGAACATGAAGAGAATATTAGGTGATGTATGTTCTTTCTATACTGGCTGTGAAATTTCTTGCAAGTTTCAATGTGTGAAGGTCCTTAAAATGAACATTTTAAGAAGGGAAAGTTAGAAGGTTTGAACTGACATTAAAAATTTTATTATATATAGCAAATACTCTTCTGTGGCCCAACTCGGTGAGATATTATATGAGGGGGCTTCACAAAGTTTCTGGAAAAAGTAAATTGTTTGTCAAGTTCACTTCCTGTGAACTTTTTGGAGCTCGCCCTCATACAAACACAGCACAATTTCTTCTAATATTTTGAAGCCGATTATTGTGAAACTGGGAGTAATGCCATTTCACTTCAACAAGCATTTGTATGTAATGACCACCATTATTTAGTGCAGCCAGTTTTTAGTTTGCATCTGTTTTGTATATACTGATGCAAAATAAATTCCAAATTTATGAGACATGTTTTGAAACCGGAAAGATTTTTGGTATCTCTGATGTGGTGAAGGGGGAGGGGAGGCTTGCCTCACTGGCATGGATTGAGCACTTGCCATTCTTGGCAATACCGCTGGTTTTGCTCCTCTATGAAGAGTCGCTCTTGATGTATATTGGCATTGATGACTGAAGCATGTCTTGTTTATGACCTTGAAGCTGATCTACTTTATTGAAACCAAGGCCTTTAACCACTATCTTTTCACCAGGTTTCCTCAAGAATCTGCAATAAAAGAAAACATTTCCCTTGAAGGACACATTTTAAAGTACTGCATTGTAATTTTGATAGGTGTCCTCATACTTATTCATTTAGGCTGCTCTCATAACAGTTTCACAAAGCGGAGATTCCTCACGGGTTGTCTTTAGATACTTTTCAATATATGAATGAGTAAAGCTTTTCTTCTTCTTTTCTTTTTTAATCATTTTATTGGGGCCTCATATAGCTCTTATCACAACCCATCCATCCATCCATTGGGTCAAGCACATTTGTACCTTTGTTGCCATCATTTTCTAAACATTTTCTTTGTACTTTAGCCCTTGGATCATTTATAAATTGTCATTATTTTTTCATGTCTTACACTGGCCGATGTCTTCCTTCACCCAAGCTTTGCTTTTAAGTTGCTGCCATCAGCATTATTGTTGCATTTGAAAACTCACATATTTTATTTGTTCAAACTGTCCTTCGAATCTGTCAGTGCTGAAGGATGTGCTTATGTAAACCAAATTTAAGATAGACAATATCTTGTCATTTTATCCGCTAGCAAAAATTTGCTGGTAATTGGCTATGGTAGTTACATAGTCTGGTGTCAATTTGAGGATTAAGAGTGAAGGGATGGAATCTAGCCTGTGGATCATTGTATAGCCAATGAGGCCTCAGTGTGGGCATGCCCTGCTGAGAATTCTGGGAACTCCTGCATTTCCTCCTTGGAGGCAGGAGACACACACCCTCTCTCTCTCTTGGTTCACTCCCTTGAAGACTCTCTACTGACAAGGCTGACTCCCTGTGAAATATCCCTGTGGAGAAGCCGCATGGACCTACCCTGATGCCGCCCTGGGTGCTGGATAAACCACATGGAGACCCCTGCCAGTGCTGAGATGCTTACACTGCCACTGGATTTACAGGACTTCCCACCCACTGGCCTGTGATCTTCCTGTCATTGCATGTGTTTCAAGAGTCTGAAGAGGACTTTATAGACTGGTATCGGACATATGGGCTAAGACTTATGGGCTTGATCAGGACTGGGCTGGGATGTTTTCTCAGTATTCAATTGCTCTTGAATATAAACCTCTTGCTTATACACATGTGAGTGTCCATAAATTTGTTTCTATAGTCTACCCGGACCAACACAATGGCAGAGTACTTTTTAAGGCTAATTGTGCTTGGATGATCTGAACATTTAGAAAAATGTTTGTAATCCTTTTGTTGATAACACAGAAATCTGATTGTTGTTGCCAAAAATGACCTGGTAAACTTAGAACAAAGAATGAATGAACATAGATTCAACTAAAAAAGTTGAAGTGAATTCTGTTATTTCTTGAGTATTAGACCATGAATTCTGAGCACCCCATTTTCAGAAGGCTATGGATGACAATGAAAGCTCAGAATCTATTTGCAGAGTCCCCACATCAAATTAAAGCCTCCACTGAATTGTTTCTGACCATTTATTCGTGTTTGTGAGCAGTCTTGTACTTGGCGCAGTATATTATTACTCTTTGTATCACCTCCACTCCCTCCAGCCAGCCCATGCAGGGGCATTCTCCCTTAGGCCATGAACACTCCCTCATGGTGTGTTTATGAGGAGGTCACCTTCCTGGGGGTAGCGTGGTCATAAATCATGCCCTGACTGCCTTGGTTGGAGGGCCGGGGACCAATCTTGTAAGCTTCTCTGTCTAATGTAAGTGTCCCAATCATGGTCCCATTCCTGATTCTCTAATCCCACCTGTAATGGATGTGTTGATCTGCCACCAGTCGTGCTTTTGTGGCACCTTTCTTTGCCCTTCCTTGCCCGTTTGAAAGCTTTGTGTCTCAGCAAACTCTTGGATGCAGTATGGCCTTATGCTAATGGTCCCCCTCATCCAAACAATATGTCTTTCTTTTTGTCTTGTCCTGTTTAAGACTTAATAAATATTCTCTGTAAGATTAATGAGTCCAGCTCTCTTCCAAAATGATTGGATTTGAGAGGGCATGAGCTGCAACTAGAATACTTACAGGTAAGAGATAAAGGGATAGCAGGGTTGGGCATGGGGGAGCCTGACGCATAGACACTCCAGGGCTTGGAACTTTGTTTGAGGCAGGTTTATATACACACCCTGTCACGCAGCCTGCCTTTCCTGACAGGTTTCTACACAAAGGGACAGTTGACAATTATTTGAGGACATACAAAGAAACATTAATACATAACCAAGCTGTTCACAGACAGGAGGGGAGGATAAAGTTGGGAAAAGGGAATAACATATTGAACAGACTGTTGTGTTTTGGCAGCTTTGCCAGGGAACAGGAGGCAAAATGTCCATCTGATCTCAGGCTGAGAGTCAGGCCAGTCAGTGCATCATCAGCTCCCCCAGATGAGCCATTAGCATTTCCCACAGGCCTTGAACTGTGGAAAGTGGTGGTCTGTCCTGTTTGCCTAAGAAAAAAACAGCTTTGCCCCCACAATTCTCTTAAATTTGACATTTGAGGTCTCTTTTGTTCCCTAACACAGTTGACATAAATTACTTGTTCATAGCAGTATACACCCCATGAGTTCTAAGTTCATTTGCTTTTATACATCTCGAGAGTCATGTTTTTTAGAGATTTGTTGTCCACAATTCCTTAAATTTATGTTGCATTCTGTTTTGGAGATCATAGCACATGCTTAATCTTTTGAATAATTATTCAAAACTAATACAATATTTTTTGTCTTCTTAGAAGAAGGAGCTATTAATTTTTCAATGTAAAAAGGCTTAATTCTTTTGAAAAAAAATTAAGGTTTTATCTGAGTGAAAGAAAAAGCTATTTCCAAATACTGAATAATTTTAAATACGCATTTCCCTATGTTCATGTTTCTTTACATTTTGGGAGGGGGGTGTGAGTTCATACCGTTTATGAGATTACTTTTCAGGTTGAAAATCACACATTTACCTACAACACAAGGAATCCAGGATAGATAACCCCCTCAGGGCCAACATTGAGAGTAAAGATGCCAGGAGTATTAGGGGAGGGTTGGGGAGAAAGGGGAATTGATCACAAAGATCAAACTATAACCCCCTCCCAGGGGGATGAACCATGGAAAAGTGAG